AGTGGCATTTTTGTAAATGGACACCCCTAAGTGGTATTATTGTAAATGTGCACACAAAAAGTGATATTTTTGTAATTGCGTCAAAGTATAAACGTATTTATGTTCATCATGTTCACAATAAATATTTTTTTTTCATAACAAATAGGACTAGACAAACGATTTTATATCATGCTAAAGCTCTCCAATAAATTTATTTTTGATAATTTATATAACTTTATATGTTCTGGGAATCAATTAAAAACATTACTAAAGTTGTGATCAAATAAACCAAATATATCTCTACGCAAATAATACTAACTTAAGTTTACGAAAAGATATTTTTATAATAAATAAAAAAATTGAATCACGGTTCTCAGACCTAAGAGTTTTTTGTTGTATACTAAAAAAATGGCGCTTTATGCAGTTCAAAGAAAAATGTAATTGCCTATGAAATAAATTCCCCCCCCCCCCTCCCATATGCAATATATGAATTACTTGGTTGGTCATTGTAAAGAAAAACACTTCTGCAAATATTCTATTCACTTTTATGGACACTATAGTTTCAATGTTATTTATTGCAAAGAAAACACTTCTGCAAATATTATATATAATATTCTATAGTAGTATAATAATTGACTAATCGTAGAACAATGTTGTGATTATGTAGGTTTATCGATTACAAAATCACAAAATGTTTTATGTAAATCCTTGGTTTTAGAAAATTGATGAAAAAACATTTCTGCAATTTTTATAATGCGTAGTTTGTATCTTCTTCAAACTTGATAAATATATGATTTCATTCTGTTTTTTTACAACTTGATTTCATTTCGTAGTATTATCGATTAGGAATGAAAAAGAAATAGTGGAGAGATGGACAAAGAAGTTAGGGAAGATGTTGACGTCTTATCCAAAAAAATCCTTCAAAAATATCCAATCAGACCGGTCCCCTTCGCTACTTGTCCCATCAGTTCACAGGCCTCTCTGTACATTTTATCTTTTCCCCTTTCCGTTTTTTCTTTCTCGATTTAATGCGAATATATCACTTCGATTTTTTTAAATAAAATATTCCATTGAGGAAATAAATACCAAGAAAAATCTATAGGTGGGTTACTCGTTTTTATAATAAATAAATTGCCCAAACAAGGAGAAAACAAACAAAAAAGCATTACACTTCTGAGTAATAGTTACCAAAAAACAAGGAGATTCCAGCAAGTTTTTTGTTCATAGATTTAAATAATGCATCAAAATTTAGCCAAGCCTTTACCAAGATATCTATTTTAAATCTTTTAGTAAGATCATTGTTGTAATCACAATTTGGTTATACATTACTAAAAATCATTGTGGACTTTTATATCATCAAAATACAGAAACAATGATACAAAGCAACCTTATTGTATTCCCTAAAAATCTTTTCCACAAGAAGCCAAAAGGAACCATTGATTATTCATCATTTATTTGCAATGTAAACCAAAAAAGGAGCATCCTTTATTTCAAACATGAAAATGGTTTGTCTGGTTGTTCCCAAAATGTGCTCTCATAGTCATAAGAAAACAAGCAAACAATGAAGAAAGTAGAGATTATGCAAAAGAGCAAATACAGAGCTCTTTCTGATACAACTTAAAGAAAGTTTGAACATTAACCATTTAAACAAATACATTCATTACCTTCTTCTCCTTCTGAAGAGTAGCTTTGCATCCCAAAAACCCTAATAGTGTGCTTTCAGATTTTTATTTCCATGCAGAATAATAGCAAATCCCCTGCCAATAACATAAACCAATTTTTGTAAGAGAAGGAAAGAGCAGGATATAGTTAGCGAGCAGCCGCGCTCAAGATCTTGAGTGCCTAGAGAAACTATGGGGCTTTCTATGAAAACAAGGCTGCGTTAATCTAGATCTCTATTTTTAAGGTTGCAACAGAAGGTTAAAAGGAGGAAGATAGATTAGGAAGGACTGGAGATGCAAACCTGTGTTGTTAACAAGGGTTTTAAGCAGCAGCCTGTAGCAACTCCCTTTCAGCGCGTTCCCTGATCCTTCTCTCCATCTCTGGCCTAAAGTGTCTTATCAGACCTTGCACGGGCCATGCAGCTGCATCACCCAATGCACAGATTGTGTGTCCTTCGATCTGTTTGGTTACCTCATGGAGCATATCAATCTCTTCCAGCTTTGCATTGCCAACTTTCATTCTCTCCATGATCATCCAAAGCCAACCTGTTCCCTCTCGGCAAGGAGTGCACTGCCCACAGCTTTCATGTTTGTAGAAGTAAGACAGCCTCGCAATTGCATCCACAACATCGGTTGATTTATCCATCACAATGACTGCTGCAGTTCCTAGCCCTGACTGGACAGCTTTGAGCGCATCGAAATCCATCAGCACATCCTCGCATATGTTCTTAGGAATCAAAGGAACAGAGGACCCTCCAGGAATGATAGCAAGTAGATTGTCCCATCCACCCCTAACACCTCCACAATGCCTCTCAATCAGTTCCTTGAGAGGTATACTCATCTCCTCTTCGACCGTACATGGCTTGTTCACATGGCCTGATATACAAAACAGCTTGGTCCCAGAGTTGTTCTTCCTACCAAAACTCGAAAACCACTCAGGTCCACGCCTTAAAATGGTAGGAGAAACAGCAATTGTTTCCACATTGGTAACAGTTGTGGGACAACCGTATAAACCAGCATTAGCAGGGAACGGAGGCTTCAACCTAGGCTTTCCTTGCTTCCCTTCAAGGCTTTCAAGAAGCGCAGTCTCTTCACCACAAATGTACGCACCCGCGCCAAAATGGATATAAACATCAAAATCATAACCAGAACCACACGCATTCTTCCCCAAGAGACCAGCTGCATATGCTTCTCTTCGAGCCTTCTCCAGATTCAAACGTTCATTCACGTATTCACCCCTGATGTATATATACGCTGCACTAGCTCTCATTCCGACACCAGCAATCAAACACCCTTCCAATAATTTGTGAGGGTCATGACGCATGATCTCCCTATCTTTACAAGTTCCAGGCTCACTCTCATCAGCATTGACAACCAAATAGGATGGACGTCCATCAGATACTTTAGGCATAAATGACCACTTAAGCCCAGAAGGGAAACCAGCACCACCACGTCCACGAAGGCCGGATTTTTTCATTTCATTGACAATCCAATCAGTACCCTTGAGTACCAAATCTTTGGTCCTATACCAATCACCTCTCTTCATGGCCCCTTTGAGAAACGGGTCATGTAGACCATAAAGGTTGGTAAAAATCCGATCTTCATCCTTGAGACCACCGAAATGAGTCTTTTCC